TTAGAGGAGTTAACCTGTGGAATAGTTATGACAGTGATTTAAAAAGGTGTAGTTCATTTTCCTTGTTTAAAAATAGAGTATTAGAAAAATATATAAATCAAGAATGAAAAGAGCGAAAAAAAAAGTTTTTAAAACACATTTAATATCTCTTGACCTTTTGAAGGGGTCTGGATCCCTAGTTTGGTTCCACTGAGTGTTGACAAACTTCTGTTCAGGTTTGTAGCCACCAGTTTTTGAACACCTGTTTTTTAAGCCTTAAGTTTTGACACTAGACATGGATCTGACTTTGAAAGCATATGGTTACTGATTGATGAGTTGTAATTGATAAGCCAGACCACAAGATATTTACTGAGAGCTTAATAATGTATGGTTTGTTATCTCACAGTGCATAACCTTGGAGGATTACAACCACGACTACAAACACTTCAAGCTGGCAAAGTTGGCTAGTGGCAGGATTGCAAGGATACCAGAGGCACTAAAAGGAACGTTTACAAGGTGGGACTAAGACCTGCTGTGATGTATGGTTTGGAGACAGTGGCACTGCCAGGAAGCAGAGCTGAGGATGTAAGATTCCCATCAGAAGGGACAAGAATGACAGACATGAACCAGTCCCTAGGGCTGCGAGAGTGGGGCCTTATCCACTTGACCTTAAATTAGTATCGTGATTCTCAGTCCCTCCAAGTTTGCTCCAAAACGCAGGGTTGGTTGGAGGAAGGGTTGAAGCAATCATTAAAGACCTCACGGGATCGTCATTTCAAAAAGCTCCCACAGAGAAATGTGCTGACACACTAGCAAAAAGATTTATTTGTCAGTTATGTCAAAATAATTTTACATTGTGGACACATACAGCCCACTTTTTACTTTAAGTGGGCCAGACCTGTGATTTTAAGGTTTTGTTCCTGATAACCAAAAAGAAATGAATGAGAGCAAATTACATTTTGTGAGCACCAGCCTTGCTTCTAGACTCACTATAATAGGGAGCTAATTAGTAGCCCTTTGACTTGTTCTCTTGGCAGGCGTGAATAATGACACGGATAAAGGCGTACCAGGTTACAGCTGTGCTTTTCCTGCTTCCATATGTCAGACTGTCGTAATAAAAAAGTCTATTGTGCAGGCTAAGTGCGAGACACGAGTCATATTTATAACCCTGACGTCCATATATCTACTCACTCGTAATTAAGCTCAACAAGATGTGAAACTAACTATAGAATCCATGTGTGAGGTCATTTGATTAATGCGCCCCATTAATTAACCCTGGCACAGTGTGAAGCAGATATGGAAAAAAAGAAAGGAAAAAATACTGCACTCCAATTTTTTGTCTTCACATCTGTGAAGCTTTAGTGGAAAATATCCCACAAGGCAACATGAAAAGAGTAGTTTTCTTCTCTGGAGTGTTTTTATTTTCTTCCTGGATTTGGTGGAACTTAAGTTGCATTGAGAATGTGCAAATTTGCAAACAAATCACAAAATCAGATGAAACGGATGAAGAGATTTTTACACAGAAAATGATTTCCCTCTATCAACACATGCATTATTTATAAGCTCTCAGATCCACACTCTCACTGACGGCCTTATCCGAACAGTAGCTTTACTCTGACTCGTGGATATTGTAAAAGTCGATTTGCACCGAAGTTATTTGTCTGGAGGATTTATGTGACACATAAGCAAACCGACTTTATACATGTGGCTTGAGTAAAACTTTAATGTTACATCAAAATAAAAGAGCACTTTAGGTTTGACAATTAGTGTATTTACATTAAAAAAAAATTTTTTAGTCATAAACATGAGTACCAGGTAAAAAACATCTTCCTGTTTTCCCTTTACAACACGTTGAGGACGTCTGCAGTCTGGTGCTCCAGCAGGGAGTAGCGGTTCTGCTCCTCAGCAACAACCTTAATGGATGCCCCTTGACTGGGTGAGCGGCTGGAGAAGCCGGGTGGAGTCATGCCGCTTGGGTTCCTCTGTTCCCGAGTTGCGTTGGGGAGAGCGGGACTGCGCCGCCGGCCGTCCAGACCCAGATGTGTGCTGATCTGAGACGAACGAAGGCTCCTCATTTGGCCTCTAGCACGCATCTCATAGAGCTCCACTGAGGTTTTCTTGTACCTGGAGGAAATACGGGGTGATTAATTTCACTACTAAACTCAAGCACGAGTGAAAACAGACCAGGTATGCGGGAGAAAGGAAAACATAAGCTTCATATCACATAAAGTTTATTGTGTTCATCTGGACGCTGAGATTTCAGACAGATAAAGGCTTTTAGTCTGAGCTGACTGCAGGTTTCCCCACTGTATCAACAGTATATTTACATAATTAATGATACTGGCACCACTGACTAACTAACAATGGGCTGTGAGGTCAGTGTGAGGTCAGTTTCATGATCATGATTACCCCAACTGGTTGCAGCAGATGGCCGCCCCTCCCTGAGCCTGGTTCTGCCGGAGGTTTCTTCCTGTTAAAAGGGAGTTTTTCCTTCCCACTGTCGCCAAAGTGCTTGCTCATAGGGGGTCATTTGATTATTGGGCTTTTCTCTGTATGTAATATTGTAGGGTCTACCTTAAAATATAAAGCGCCTTGAGGTGACTGTTGTGTGATTTGGCATTATATAAATAAAAACAAATTAAATCATTGAAATGCAGATTTTCCTTGTCTAGTATGGGGTGAACCTGTGACCTTGGCATTATTAGCACCACACTCTAACCATCTGAGCCAACCGGCTGGAATCCCTATGAGCCAACCGGCTGGAATCCCTATGAGCAAAAATGTCCTAAGAAAATGTCCCCCATGCCATTACACCACCACTCCCAAGATCAATTGTTGATATAAAGCAGGATGAATTCATTTATTCATACTGTTTTCGTCAGATTCTAAACTGAAATAGACTCATCCGACCACGGAATATGTTTCCAGATATCTATTGTCCAATTTTGGTGAGCCCCTGTGATCAGTGTTGCCAACTCCTCAGTAAGGAAAATTGCTATTGGTTGTCCTAAAAGTCGCTAGAAGTCGCTAAATGACGTCATCGCCTAATTTGCATAATTGGTCATGCTAATCTAATTGTAACCTACGTTGTTGGAGAGAGAAATAACATCGTGGAAGAGACATAAAGTGAGTAAAAAACGTCTTAAATGCATTTAGAGTTTATTTAGAACTAAAAATCAAATTTCTTTTAGCAATTATTGTTTTTTTTAATGACACAATTCCAACCCGGCTCCTTTACCCTTGGACCGGCAAAAGTGACCCGAAATAGGCACTCTGGTGGAGTTACTTTGTGTGTGTGTGTGTTTATAAGTAGCTTTAAACCTTGTGATCCACAAAACAGCATAAGAGTAAAAGAGTAAAAGAAGAACTGACTGCATTACAGCACCCGCTGCTTGTTGAGAGTAAAAGCGATACGCGCTTTCACGTCTTTTTTTTAGTAAGGGGTCTGAAAACTCGCTAAATATAGCGACAAAGTCACTAAGTTGGCAACACTGCCTGTGATGCACGATGTATCATCTTAATTTCCCTCACAGGGGTCATTCAGGCACCACCAACAGGTCTGATTTAAATTGTGGCTGCTTTGTCCTGCTGTTTCCTCCCTAATCTTTAATATAAGTGTAGATAATGTAAACGCAGAAGGACTCACATTTTCAGCAGTAAAGAAGACAGGACCACTGAAACTGATGAGGCGGCCATTGCAGCTGAGCCCATCCAGGGTTGGAGCACCAGGCCAACGGGCATGAACACACCTACGACCAACAGTTCACATTTGAGAAAGAGGCACCTCAATGTCATCCACAATGTGCCAGGATAAGAATAATTTCTGATTTCATTTTGGATTTTGGTTTCCCAAAATATCGAGCTTGCACGTTCACCTTGACTAGAGTCCGTTATTGGTTCAGGATTTTACTGTAGCTCTCACCTGCAGCAATTGGTATTCCAACAAGATTGTAGAAGAGAGCAAAGACAAAGTTGATCCTTATCCGACGCACCGTCTTCTTGGACAGCTCGATGCTGGCCACCACATCTAGCAGGTCATTCTGCAGAGCGCGAAAAGCTTCAAGTGAGACAGTTTAAACGAGCCAATGTATCTGCACACAGACTATCTGCCACCTACTCGGATCAAGACAATGTCAGCCGCCTCAATAGCCACATCGGTGCCTGTCCCGATTGCGATGCCGACGTCGGCACGGGCGAGGGCGGGGGAGTCGTTCACGCCATCTCCCACCATGGCCACCCTCAGGCCTCGTTTCTGCAGCTCCTGGACTTTTGCCACCTTGTGTGATGGCAGCACTTCTGCAAATACCTTTCTGATCCCCACCTGCAGCCAATCAAACGCTTTGATTACATGTTAAACATTCAGGTAGATTTTAAGAGTGTGCAAGCGTTACCTGTGCTGCTATGGCCTTAGCTGTGCGCCTGTTGTCTCCCGTCATCATCACCACCTCAATGCCCATAGTGTTCAGTGTATGCACTGCTAATGCTGACTCTGCTTTCACCGTGTCTGCGATGGCTAACATTGCACACAAAACACCTACACACACACACACACACACACACACACACACACACACACACACACACA